TAGATATTGTAACACTTTTTCTGCTTACTGTGTAACTGCCCTCTATCTGTAAATGTATGGTGTTGAAAGTATTATTTAAGTCTGCATATTGCCTGACTTGAGAAAAATGAGTATTTCTACTGTATCGCCAACTTCTTTGGCTCGATAGTTCTGATAAATATCATGCTCTTCGGCTGTAATTATTTTATTGTAGCATTTTAGAAGTCTGAAATAAAACAGATAATTTCAAGATAATTTCAAAATTAGTAAAGGTCTGGGTTGACACCTTGTGTTTATGATTGCAGGTAGCACAAAATCAGATTTTTTTCTATGTCTGAAAACATTACCATGGGCTGATTCTGTTGCCTCATCAGATGATTTATATATTGAATTGTCTCTCCTCCGCCTTTTTGGGTGGGATGCTAATATGTTCCCATTACAGCCTATGAGTTGGCCTTCAAGTAGCTTGCCTGTATGACCTATGTGTGTAGACTGTTTAGCTTTGATAGGAAATCCTACAGAAGATCTATAGGACTGGATATGGGGTATATGTCATCCTTTAGATATTAATGGGCTACAGCTTGGAGCAGCCCTAGATAAGTACTGCTACTGCTGAGAAATAATGAGAGTTGCTCACTATAACATCAGTAGCACTCCATGTTCTCCATTCCTGCAATAGAAGTTTAGGCATGTTCTGGTCTTCTCTTCAGAGCATTACAATTCTGATGTGAAATACCACATGTTGTGCTCAGATTGCCTTAAAACAGAGAGAGGATATGGTGCCATTGTTGGCTTCTTGGGCATGCATCTTCTTTGGTATTTGATACTGTTGTGTCCTCTACTAAATTTCAGATCAACCTTTTCCATCTTTTTCCAGTGCCCTCTGCTATATTGGACTACAGCTTCCATAATCAGCTATGCTGGTTGTGTGAATATGGTAATTGTAGTTCAACATACCCAGAGAGTACCAGGTTGGAGAAACTGCTCTAGAGGGCATGTGTATATTCCTGCCTTGCTTTCTGTCGTCAAAATAATTGGCAATTGGTTCTGTTATATAAAAAAAGCAAAATGCTGTTCTTGATGATGCCTGTGAGATGTGTGCTAAGCAATTTGATTCTCTTGAGGGTAGCCAGCTTGTCTTAAAGCCATTTGCCCTTTAAGAGTTGAGCAAAGCAGTTCTTGTAGTTATAGTGATACAACTGTGTCATCCTCCAGTTAATGGAAATTCGTGAATGCTAAGGCAGCTATTGTTCTTCCAGTTGGAACTTAATTGTCAGTCATACTGCTGGACTGCCCCTAAGTGTGAGTGTTCTGTAGATATTTCTAGTTGTAGTGACCTTACCGTTTTAAGAGTCAGTTTTTTTGTCTTTGGCCCTTTCTTCAGTTCTCAAGGAAGCTTGCTTCCCTTGGAATCATGGCAGTAGTGTTAAGAATGCTTATGGGTGGGCATGGGAGGGTAAAAGATAAGGGTTAGGGTTTCAGGTATTTCTGGGCTCCTCATTTAATATTAGTTGTGTGTTCTCCAGGATTCTTCATACTCTCTTGGGTATTATCTCTGCTAAGCGCAAAAGGTGTGCTCAGAGCTTCTATTCAGCCATCTTGTCTCAGCAGTCCACTGGCTGTTGAGAATGCTTGCTCTGTATGATAACAGCAGAAGAATCCTTTGCACGAATATGGTGGAATACTGGTCTCTTCTGAATCGGTTCTCGATTGCAAGTGACAGAAGAATGGAATTTGAGGAGTTACTCATCAGTACATCAGGGTTTTCAGGAAATGTGAATTTCGGCAAATGTCACCATGTCGGTAGAATAGCATTTTAAAATTATGAAATGAGCAATGGGGAATCTGTCATTCATATGTTCTTGGGTTGTTTATGGTTTTAGACTGAGATCTGATACAGACATAATGCTGGCTCCCAGAAAACCATGCTACAAAAAGCAAAATCCATAGCTTCTGTATGTGTGTTACTTCTTTTTACAGAGCAAATTATCTCTTGTTTTCGCAGGCCAGTATTATCTGGGAATGCATATGTGTTTATCCTGCTCCGTAACTCCTGGAGCAGCTTATGTACAGCCAATGAAACAAAATATTATGCAGTGTTATCTAGAGTTACATGAGAATCAGCAATAGCTGTGTTTTCCTGATAATCTAGAATTTGAAACCGTCAAGTGGGCTTACAACCCATGTTTGTGAAGGAAATTGGCCAGCATTAACTATGGTCAGCACTGGTGCATATATATAAGACCAAATATATAGTCTTACCCACTTGCTGGAAACTCAACAGAGGTGAAGCCAGCCTGACCTCTCTTGGGAAGAGTTCCACAGTTAAAATCCTTCTTCAGAAAAGGCCCTATCATGATGTATAGTTGTAGCTTTTGTTCTGGAAGCTATAAAACAGGAATGGTGATATGTGGAGCAGGTGGCTATGTTCCAATCTATGCTTTTAGCAAACAACATATTTCCAGTGTGATACCTTTTTGAGTGGTTTAATAAAAAAAAAATACAAGTAGTTTAGCTTTAACTATTCCATTCTGGCCTGTGCTTATGCAAAATAATTCATACCCTGTTTTCCCGAAAATAAGACCTAACCTGAAAATAAGGCCTAGTATGATTTGTCAGGATGCTCGTAATATAAGCCCTACCCCAAAAATAAGCCCCAGTTAAGTGAACCCCCGCCCTCCACCCTTGTGCAGCAACCAAAAGATGACATGACTATACTTGAATAAATGTAGATTGTTGTACATGGAAAAAAAATCCCCTGAAAATAAGCCCTACTGCATTTTTGGAGCAAAATTTAATATAAGACACTGTCTTATTTTCAGAGAAATACGATATATCTTCAAGACCTACTTACTCTCGCTATCTTCAGTTGGCTTTATGCCATGTATTTCTTTTATTTCTTTAAAATATTTTTTTAAAGGATCTAAAATGGCTTACAATTAAAAGACAGTAGCTAACAACACTGAGTATATAATACCAAAAGGATCAAATGAATACAGTGGGCCCTCGAACTTAATCTGTTTTGGAAGGATGTTTGTACCTCGGAAATTCTGTAAGTCGAAGTACCATTTCCCGTTGAAATGCATGGGAACGGAATTAATCCGTTCCAGCATTTAAAAAAACAACACACCAAAATAAAAATAAAAAGAGCAAGTCCCACGTTGGGACTGCAAAACACACACACACACACACGCACACACTCTCTCTCACACACACAGAAACATAACTCCCCCAGTCCAAACCCACCCTCCAAAACCCACACAGAAAAGTTTTTTTAAAAAAAGGACTTACCAGTCCAAAGCCTGTCGGTGCTCCACTGCCTCCGTGCGGCCGGGGCGAGCGGCCAAGCACCCGGCCAGTTCTAGCCTCCCGGCGCTACGCTGCCTCCGCTATGGCCGGGGGTGAGTTGCCAAGCGCCCAGCCAGCTCTAGCCTCCCGGTGCTGGGTTAGCTTCGGTAGCTCGTAAGCCAAAAAGGCAGGGAGAAAGGGTGGGAAATTCAAATTTCCTGCTCTTCCTCCCTGCCTTTGGAGCTTTCGGAGGGCTTCCTCGGGGAAAAGCTCTTTGAAACCTCTGAAGGCACCAATCGCAGAGGTGAAGACTGCCAGGGAGGTCTCCCATGGTGGCGTGCAAGCCCTGGGAGACCTTCCTGGGGGTCCCTGTCACCCTTATGGGCAGCTTCAGAGCTCT